TTACTCAATGAATTTAGTTATTAAAGGTTTAATAATTTTATAGCATTTTAAGGATAAAGGTTAAATCTTTAAGAGAAATACTATGAAGCGATAGAATATTTTTACTAGGCCCTTGAAATGGATCCTAATAATGTTATTGCTTATATACATTTAGGAAAGACATTTCTTCAAGATGAGGTAAACTCTTACAGAATTTTTAGGATTTTTAAGGAGCAATATATAATTTTGACAAAGCAATAAAATTAGATCCATAATGTTACATTTTGCATTTATTAAAAGGTAATTATTATATAAATATAAATAGGAAACGCATTATTTTATACCAATAATTTTGAGGATGCTATTAAAAGTTATAATTAAGTCTTAGAATTGAATTCATAGAATGATATAGCATTGTTTAATAAATGTATAACATTTCTAATAACTTTTAAGGTGCTTCTTTAGGTATTTTGTAAGATTATAATAAATCTTCAGCTTGCTATGATAAATATATTTCTCTATTTCCATCAGAACTAGACCCGTATTTTATTTAAAGTATTTAAAATTTATAAATTATAGGTACAACTCTAGTGATGTAACATAAATTCTAAGAAACCCTTACTTATTTAGAAAATTATTTTGCTTTAGGTGGAACAAAAGGAATAGCTTTTTACCTGAAGGGTATTTTTTATTAGAAATTATAGGATTATGTTTAATATAATTAGAAAAATATGAAGAAGCCTTGCCATATTTTGATTAAGCAATAAACTTAAGTTCAAAATTTTTTAGAACCTATGTAGATTAAGGTTTTAGTTATATAATCTGTAATAGGAAGTGCGTTATATTATTTAAAGAGATACGATGAAGCTATTATTAGCTTTGATAAAGCATTAAAAAATGGTGAAAAAGTAGATGCTTATGAATATGGTATGAATTTTTATATATTGTTAGGATCTGTGCTATTTGGATTGGAAAGATATATGGAGGCTATTCAATAATTTGACTAAGCTATAATAGAAAATAAATCATGTTACAAGATTCATTTCTTAAAAGGTATTTAGGATTTTATTCTTTTTAGGAAAAGCTTTATTCTAATTAGGAAAACTTCATTAATCTATTGTTTCACTAGATTAAGCCATTAATATGAATTCTTAAAATTTGGAGATCTAAATTTACAAGGGTATTTAAAATCATAAATTAAGGCAATATTTTAATTTCTTTAAAGCTATATGATGAAGCTCTCTAATTATTTAATTAAATTATTGAATAAGACCCTATGAGAACTATGGCCTATAAAGGGAAAGGTATTTTTATTTCTAATTTTAAGGATTAATATTAAATTAGATGAAGAAATATGAAAAAGCTATGGAATAATTCGATAAAATAATAGAAATAGATCCTTTGGAGCCTCTTGGCTATTCTCTAAAAGGTTAAAACAACTATTAATTATTAGGATTATGCCTAGAGTTCTAAGAATAATATCAGGATGCAATATTTTATCTTAAAATTTCAGTTTAAATGGATCCAAATTCAAGTGTTTCAAATCACCATTTAGGTTAATATTAATTTCCAATTTATTAGGGCTGTGCTTATATCATTTAAATTAATATTAAGAAGCTATAGAGTTCCTGTAAAAAGCATAAATATATGATTCAAAATTTTCATATACATATTTATATTTAGGTATTTAGAGTATGTATTTAACTCTTAGGACTTTCATTATATGAATTATCTCGATATGAAGAAGCTTTATTAAACCTTGAACAATTTATAAAGTATATTCCTGATCATCCATAAGCAGAATACATCATCGGTACTATTATATTCTATAATAATAGGTAGGAGTTTACTTGAATTAAAAGAGTATAAAAAAGCTGTGGTCCATTTTGACAATTCAATAAAATTGAAAGAAAATAATTTTTTTGCATACTTTCATAAAGGTAATGAGTTAAATAAGATTTTAGGAATGGCATTATTATATTAAAAGAAGTATCTCTAAGCATTAAGATGCACTAATGAAGCACTAAAATTAAATAAATATAATGAGATGATAAATTATTAAAAAGGTAATATTATAAATATTTTTTAGATATGATTTTAAGTTAACTATTTCAAAACTGTGGTTTAATAGATAACTTAAAAAAATCTATAGCTTGCTTTGATGAAATAATTTCATCTGAACCTTAATTAAGCCTGGCATACTTCAACAAAGGTATATCTAAAATTGTATGCAAGGCTTGCGATTATTTAACCAGAAGTTTTATTAAGAAGCGATATCCTAATTTGATTTAGCAATTAAATTCGATCCAAAATCAGATTAAGCGTATAATTATAAAGGTTAATGATAAATTCATAATTATAGGAGTAATCTTAGACGGACATTAATAACATGAAGCTGCTATCAAATTATTCG